TAAATTATATTTTAAATTTATGATAAGTAATTTATATTATAATAAAAAATTTATTTTACTTTAGTGATAGATTATTTTAAAATATTACTATTTATTTCATAAATACTAATAATATATAAAAATTGAATTAAACAAAAATTTTAAATATCATTAAAAACTCTTTTATTAAAAAAGATAAAAATATTATTGTTTGAGATAAAGATTTATATTTAATATATAAAAGTTAATAATTAATTAGTAGATAAATCATAACTTTATAATTTTTAAAAAAATTAAAAATAAATAAGAAGCATAATAAATCATATTAAACTAACTCATACACTTGATTGGGTTAGTATTTAATTTTTTTTTATTTGAATTTGAGATATTTATATATGAACTATATTTTTTGGCTTGATTTAAAAATTTTAAATCTAAATCAAACCTACTTATAGACACTCGTCATTAAAATCTCAAACCGAAAAATTTCTACGACATGCATTTAAAGATTGGTGGTAAACGTCAAGACTTTGATTAAAATTTGAAATTTCCATATTCGTGTTACGAAGAAATCGAATCAAATGCGATTTTTTTTTTTAAGATCTTAATTGTTGTATTGTGTATAATTGATTTTTTTACACTATTAATTATTATCAAAAAAAATTTAAAATATTATTACAAAACTCAATATTTTATCATATATAATTATTTATTATTGAATAATAATGAAAATAAACTATTTATAATTTTATCGTATTTCTAATTGAATTATTTTTAATATTAAATTGTCCTGTAAAAATAACTACGGAATAAAAGTCATATGACATTAGTTTGATTAAAGAATTAATAAATAAATAAAAGTTTCAATTTTTTTTTTTACTGAAAAAAGTTTCAATTTTTTATTCTATAAAATAATATCAATTGAGCTGTAATAGCTCAAGTATTTTAATCAAATAATATTATAATTAAAATGTATTTTTTTTATGAAGTGACTAATTTTAATGTAATGTCTAGATTAACTAGTATTTAACTTATGTATTGTGCAAGACAAATATTTAATTTAAATATATTAATTAATATTTTAGTATGTACAATAAATAAAATTTTATTGTAAATAATTAAATTTTAAAATAAATTAT